TCGTGGAAGACTAACATTGAGGAAAGGGTAAAAAAGGCGTCGGTTGTATCGTACTGCTGTAGGGGAGCTATCGGTAGAAGGTAATTGATTAGCTCTATGGAACCAGATTTAAGCTTATCTTGTTTCACGGAGCCCTTGTCTGGTGGAACCAGCTAGAGAAAGCTACAATTGTAAATCGGGAATTAGTGGAGCATTTGGAACCACACCTATACTGGCGCTTAACGTCACGTTGAACACGGCGCCTGAGGATATTGAAGACAGAATTGTAGCAGCATGAACTGCTATTAGGGTAAGGGAAACCGGGTGGTAACACTGGATTTCTGGCGGGTTTTGACTTCGACCTGAACACATAGATTACAGCGCCTCCGAAATGCTTCCCAGAAGCTCTCTCTACCTATATTCCCTTAAGAGAGGACTGGGTAGGGCGGGGTTACTAAGGCTCCGGACTTCTGCAGTGTCTTTCAGGTGGAAATGGCTGCCATCAATGAAGCGGTAGACTCACTGCTAAAGGGTGTGATGGTGCGTTAGAAATCGGTAAAGGAATATCAGACTTCTTTATCCATCGCGTCAGGGTACTTCTTAGGTACTTCTTTTAGTTTAGGTACGGGGTCACAGAGACATCGCAGAAAACTGCGTGGCTGATGACCTGGCGGTGGAAAGGCACCCTTAAAACGATATCCCCAGATAAGGAGCATGACTAACATGCATACTTCGTACTCGCTATAATGAAATCGGATTATCTATTAAATACATAATAAAATGGACAAAAGAAAGCGATGTTGGTTTTTGTGACATAAAAGGGGAAAAGAAGACGTTTCTCCGCTACAGAGTGTTTTTACAAGGCACTTTAAAATACTTTTTGTAGCGCTAGTAACGAGTGACCCATCGTTATCCCTTAAAGGTGCCGAATACCACGTTCCTCTCAAGAGCTAGTGATGGGGTTCTGACAAGCCATTGTGCGATTGATATTCACTCGGTAAAACTAGGAATTTCAACTGATTCCTTTTGTATCAGCTGTCAAGAGGAATAAGAAGTGGAATCATCTCTACACATTCTTTTAGACTGTCCAACCTTCGCGAGGCTAAGATGGAAGAATTTTTGTTCGCTCTTCTGAACTAACACTGAGCTCTCAGGGATCAAAATTAGCCGCATTCGAAATTTGGTAATCGGCTCGCGGTGTTAACCTAAGAGCGCGTTCACACAGAAAGTCGAGCGGCGCCGAGCGAAGCAAGGCGGAACAAAGCGAAGCTGCTGGTGTTCACACTGAACGAAGCGAAGCGGAGCTTTTCTCATGGACCCGGCAGCAAAGATACCACAAAACTTACCATCAATGAAAGGTGGCAAAAATATTTGCTCAATTTTATTCAAAATATCAGTTGTAGAATTCGTTTTTATTTGAATAGTTTTCTTTTTTGTTTGCAGATGCGTCATGAAAATGAAAAATTAAATAGAAAATTCAAATACAAAAACTTCTTAGCTTTCAGCTTATGAAAAATCTTGCTGTATGAACCATGATACAAACAAGTAAGAAAGTCTAAGTTCAGGCGGAGCCGAACATTAAATACCCGGCGCAAGTATTAAATAGATGGTAAGCCGGGGTGTATCAATTTTGAGTAAATTAGCGTCCTTAAATTTCGAAATATTGCAGTTTCAAGCATTTCTGAAATTTACCGTTATATGAAAAGCGGCCGTAATTTCAGTCCGATTTCAATAATTTTCAACATTTTGCTTTTATGTGGCAAGCACAATAACCATACCGAGTTTGGTACAAATTGGTGGAACGGTTACCGAGATACATATATGTGATCATAAGTGGGCGGTGCCAGGCCCATTTTTCAAAATTTTACCATAACCGTATTTCTTGGAAAAGAATTGTTGCAAGCATCAATTTTGAATAAATTAGCTTTAATATTTACTGATTTATCGAAGATTTTGTATTTCTCTTAATTACCGTTATATGGGATGTGGGCGTGGTTATTGTCCGATTTTTTAATTTTTCGGCCAGTTAGTATGCTGTATCAAGGCCAACAACTGTGTCAAGTTTGGAAGAAATTGGTGAAGCGGTTACCAAGATATACACATGTAACCACAAGTGGGCGTGGCTACGCCCATTTTCCAAAAATTTATAATATTCTTATTTTTCGTCTAAAATGTATTGTAAATATCAATTTTGAGTTAATAATCTTCAGTAGTTACTAAAATATCGCAGTTTTCGTATTTCTGGAAATTACCGTTATATGGGAAGTGGGCGTGGTTACTGTCCGATTTCGCCCATACCAACCTACCTTGGATTAACGGAAACCTACATACCAAATTTCGTTGAGATATCTCAATTTTTGCTCGAGTTATCGTGTACACGGACGGACGGACAGACAGACATGGCTTAATCGATTTCTGTATTCGTTCTGAGCATTTATGTATACATTTGTCTATATTTATCTCCATTCGTTTTGGCTGTTACAAACAACCGTTATGTGAACAAAGTTAATATACCCTTGTGCACAAGTGCGCTCGGGTACAAAAATGTGAACATACGCCTGCGATCAAAGGATTAAAATTTGATTTAAAATAAAAATTTAAAATTTTTGAACACTAAATTGTTAATAAATTCGGTGTGAAATATGCACTTTTTTGTAAAAAATACCGTGTAGCCGGAGTTGGGCAGATTAGGGAAACTTTTCTAAGCGCGGCCGAAGGCCTCCAACGCGGAGAGGTATTCTGCGCGTAAGTCCTTTGATTGCCGTAACCCGAGCTTACATTTTCTAGCAAAATGCTAAGTTTACCCCATTTTCAAATTGGTGCCGAGCGGTCAGAGAGGTGACGGGTGACTTGCCTTAAAGTTTGGACCGTTCTCTTTCTAATCGGTGGAGACATCAATTTTTTTCACAAACGCTCCAATATTGAACAGTAAACTATATTTAAGGGATCCGCAAGCCACCATAAAAGTCGTATTATGAAATTTCACACCGTTAAAAAAGAATTTGTGTTGTGGTTTCAAGTCCTCTAAACATTTGTTTAGCCGTTCAAAACTTTACGACACACGACAATAGGACGCTTACGACACCTTGTGAACCATCTAAATATGTATTAAATTCACACCGAAATGTGTATATCAGAAACAATTATCTTCAGTATAGAAAACCGTAAAGGTCCTGGCTAGATACATTGTAAAATAATCAGATGTCAAAAAGACACAAAAAAGTTTGAAAAACCCTACATATACATATGTATATGTTCACTAAAATTTAATTAACCTAAATGGGAAGTGGTAATCGTATTTAGTGTAAAATTTAAACATTTTTAAGATACGATTTTTATTACTTTTAAACAGTTAATGTTATTAAAACTATTTTATACATAATCCCAAATTTATGGTATAAAATCCCCTCTACCAAAAAACTTAAATTGGGTAACGCCGCTTCGAATTTTTAACAATTGAGCAATTGTCAAAAATCTGATTTTTAATCAAAAAGTTGTTTATTGAAACTACCTTCTTTTTTGTATCATGGCTACAGCAATTAGAAAGCTTCACTTTGCTCGGAACGGCTTCGCTTGGCTCGGCTCCGCGTTCTGTGTGAACGTACCCTAACCCAACTCAACCTGTACTTCTTTGAGCTATAAAATAGTTGGTCACATTAGTAATACCGTCTTATATAGAAGTAAAATGATAACTTTGACTGCAAGTCGTCACGGGTTGCCGTAGTTCGAATTGGATAAAATTGTATTCGAATAGTTTTTAAGACAGAACCAATAAAATGGGGCGGTATGCGTTAAAAAGGATAACTTTGGTTTTTTGGGACAGTCTAATATACATACATAAATTCAAGACCGTATTTTTTGGTTAAATTGCTTAACTTCGACAATTTTTATGCAATTGCATTAGGTCAATTTAAAGGTCTATAAATACTCTTTTCAAAACATATTCGGTTTTTAAAATCGGATGAACAAGAGTCAAGCTGTTAATAAATAAGTGCATCAGGTACGAACATAACGGTTGTTTTGAAATAAAAAAATGGAGGGTTCAGGAACTATTCGGAAAGTATTTTCATGTTGTACTCGACCATAGCTACAACATAAACTAGGTTTTGTTTCGGGTATATTTCATGACTTTTTTGTAGCACCGTGTAATAGATTATCGCTAACACATATGTGGTGTGCGCCTTGATGTTGTCACACAAAGGGGAAGGACCTACAGTTTTATGCCGACTCCGAACGGCGATTGTATGTTTATGAACAGCTGTTTTTCATAGCATAAATACACTCAGAGGTTTGCCACTGCCCGCCGGGCACGACCGCTGTTAAGAAAAAGCCTTTTTACAACGCTTTTATTTTCTTTTTTTATTTTGCGATGTTCCTTTAACCAGACCCGGCGGAGTGGTAGCGCGAAGTGGCGTGGAGGCATGGAAAATGAAAACATCTGATGAGGCGGCTGTTGGAGTTTTCGATAGAAAGATTCTGCAAAAGATTTACGAGCTTTTACGTGTTGACATGGCGAATACCGCAGACGCTTTAACGATGAGCTGTATGAGCTTTACAACGATATAGACATNCCTTTAACCAGACCCGGCGGAGTGGTAGCGCGCACTGGCGTGGAGGCATGGAAAATGAAAACATCTGATGAGGCGGCTGTTGGAGTTTTCGATAGAAAGATTCTGCAAAAGATTTACGAGCTTTTACGTGTTGACATGGCGAATACCGCAGACGCTTTAACGATGAGCTGTATGAGCTTTACAACGATATAGACATAGTGTAGCGAATTAGAATTCAGCAGATACGCTGGCTGTGTCATGTCGTTCTAATTGACCGAAGCGGTCCAGGTTTGAAAGTATTAAACACGGGCCGCGATGCTCGTAACAGAGAAAAGATAATGCCTCCTCTGCGTTGGAAAGACCAGTTGGCGAAGGACTTGGCTTCACTTGGCATTTCCAATTGTCGTCAGTTGGCAAAGAAGAGAAACGACTGGCGGACTGTTTTGGATTCGGCCAAAATCGCTAAGGCGGTTACAGCGTCGATTTCATTAGATATTTTAAAATTATCGTTACTAAAGTATATTTAATACTTACATTAAGTGTGGGGTCTGATATTTGTGCAGAAGTCTCCAAATTAACGACATCGTAATTGCAGTAATTGCAAAGTTGTTTTAATGCGTCTACTTCCTTTTCTAGCCAGATGTATAGTTGATATCGCAACTGGCCGCCATCAACTTCGAAACCAGTTGCTAAAGTCGACAATTCCTCCATCAAAATTTTTAAACATGCTACAAATTTTAGTTGCTGTGCCATAATATCTATTTTTACATCTTTTGCAGTTTCTATCGGAACTTTTTCCGCTGTATCTCGAGTAACTGTTTCGGTTTTAGTTTGTGACGTACTTCCGCCATCTTCTTGTACGCCACAATCATCCCATTTTATTTCGAATGGTTCTTCGTTCACAGATGAAACCGGAGCACCCCAATCAAAATTTGCAGCTGAATCAACCACTGGTTCCCCCCAGTCAATTATACCAGAAGTTATTTGATCTACTTTTTGAATAGGGGCGGAAGCTTCTTCAAAAATACTGTTTGCGTCCATAATTTTCATTGGCAACTTATTCAAAACTTCCAAGGCTAAAGCTGGACATCCTGCTTTAAAGTGTGCATGCGCAGTTGTAAAATAAAGTTGTCTTTCAATGGGTGTTATTGAGTCTTCAAGTTGCAGTTGTTTATCATTTGATTTTGATATTTGACTCTCTCCAGAATAGCTAAATCCCGACAGCACAACGTTTGCACATTTCTTCTCCTGTGCAGATAAAGCTAAGCTCTGTCGTACTAGTAAAGGATGTGTACGTAAATATATGTAGAAGTTGAAAACATTAGGATTTGTTGAGGAGTTTTCTGGTTTTAACATATCTTCTTCTTTGAAAGCAGTATGGTTCATGCCAACGCCGTTTAGTAATAATGTATGCAAGCTTTCTTGATACCTCTTTAAGATCCAGTAAGTTATTGATCGAAGGAAAGGATCTGGGTGAGCTTTACTGACATCAAACGAACTGTTTTCATCCCGAAGTCCGAGAATATGTTCGGAGAGTAAGCTACAGTAAGTTGATTTATTCGAAATTTCAATGTCATCTTCAAAGAGTCTTGCTATTACTAAAGCGAGTTGAAAATCCTCTAATTTATTTATGCAGACCTCTATGGCATCGTTTAAAGAATTTGCAAGAAGGAAAAATGCAACTGCATGTTCAAAGCGTTGTTTTCCGAGCAGAACAAATGCGTTCTTAAGCGCTGCTTTTCTCCATCGATCTTCGGAGAAATTATTTGAAAAAAAAGCGGTCATCTTTTCATCTCGCTTAGATCGGAAAAGTCCCCATACTATTGACTTCTTTTTCATAGCTAAATAAAATATCGCCGCATCTAACGGATCTTGCTTTAATTGGTATGCGCTTTTAGCTAGTTTTTCCACGCAACAACGCAAGCTGTTTATATTTTTTAACCAATATCCCACACCCAGATCTTTCAGTGTTGCCCATCGTAAATCTCCTTTTGAATATGATGGAATAAGATTTAAAAGCTCTTCTTCACTTTCAGAGTGAAAAGCCCATACTATATTTGATGTTCCAATGCCTTGCTTCTGAAATTGGGCTCTCTGATTTAATGGCAAACAGCGCAAGAGGTAAGTAAAATGTTTCATAGCGAGTAAAAATCGTAGACCGCAATCATCCAATGATTCTGACATTGCATTGCCAGAAACATCTTTGCATACGCTTTTTCCATGATCGGAGGCGAATTTCTCGTTAAAATCGCTGTTGAAGTTTGCTACAGTATCAGCCAGGGCTAACAAATGCATTTGATCTAACGACGACAAGCCAGGCAAATGAGTGTGGGTGAGAAGGCGCGACAATAGTTGGCCCTGACGTGAACCAAAATGTGCTATACTCAGTTTCTCTGGCATGGACAATTTTCTCTCGAATTTGCATTGATCGTCCTCGTTTTCAAGAAGATCATCTAAATTATCTTCCGATTTGTTCATTTCGAAAAGTTCATTGTAATCTTTACTTTTTTCTAGAATATTCATGCCTTGTCCTGGTAATTCATTATCAGCATTCAACAGCACCCAAAGAGGTAAAGGAGGTATGGATGTAATTTCAGTATAATCAAGCATCAGCTCTTCTGGGACCTGAAATAAGTAAAAGGTAATGTTATGTGGATGTTCTTTAAAGCGTAGCGAGAAAAAATCCATTAAATCAATCTGAAGTTATCACTAAATTACGAATTTTTGAAAAAAGTATTTTAATATATTACTGTGATAAAATTATAAATTCGGGTAGATATTGTCCTGAAATTTTACCCTTATAGCACGGTGCAGCGAACAAAGGTGGCGCCGTCAGTGATACCGCTACTTTGGTTTTGCCGATTTTAACAATTGTGGTAACTTGTAAATAAACCTTTGATTACAAATCAGCGAAAGAGAAATTTGAACTATAAGTGAAAAATCAGTTTAAATTGTGTTAATTGTGATTTTTGAGTTGAAGACTGCGTAAAAACTAATACCATGAAGTGCTGTGTGTCAAATTGCGACAGCCCCCAAGACGCAAGAAGCGTAGGTGTAAGTGTAGCGCTGGGACGAATCGCTGCATTTTGTGTACATAGGGCACGGCAATGCCGTTCCCGAAATGTTTCTCTATTATTATATTAACAGCATTTCCTCACAATGATTTTGTTTCTGCCCCACGCAGCCTCCATTAGCAAGTTAACTAATCAATCCCGCAGAGATGCTGCTGCAGTTTTCTGCAACAGCCTTAATTGCAAAGCAATGGAGTGCACTAAAACGTTTGCTGAAGCAGCCTAAATTGCAAAGCAATGGAGTGCACTAAAATGTTCACTGGTCTCTAATGGATTAGGTGAAAAATGCAATATTTTCGCATTTAGCAAAATTAAAACACGTTTTTCGCTGTAAAGTGAACTGCTTTGGCAGTTTCAACTCGTTCTTCTTTTCGCTCTATTCTTTGTTTACTTGTGGTACACAAATGTCAACGCCCAGGACGGCGCAATCTTGTATTCTATCATTCTTGCCCTTATAGAGTATTTCCTCGTACAAAAATATTTTAGTGAAATTTTTATAAATAACACTGTACGGCAAAATCAACTTTTTTTCTAGGTATTGGACCAAACCAAATTGTTTTAAGAGATTGAGTCATAGGTAAAACAGTGATTTCTCCGTTTTTCGAAGTTAGCCTCCGATATCGAGAGAGCCTTCGAAGTTCGCAATAGGACCTTTGGTAAAAAATTATATTTAATTATTGCATGTAAATAACTAAAAACCTAAAAAGATAGACGTAGTTCTCGTTTTGCTCTTATTTAAATGCTATATAACTTTTTTTTTTTCCAGGTGCTATAAGGGGTCAAAGTTCAGGTCTTCGAAAAATTAAATTCCTAACAATTTTGAACTGACTTTTAAAAAATTTATATCGTTGTAAAGATGATTAAACCCGCTTTCCTTCGATATGCATATTTGTATACTTCGCATATAAAATTTTTAGAAAAACACATTTAAATGAAAAAAAAGATATTTTAAATAAAAAAATTACTAACAGTTTTTTTAAAAATTGGTATCGTGTTAAGGATGATTAAGTCCCCTTTCTTCTGACATGCATATTTGCATACTCCGTATATAAAAATTAGAGAAAAAAAAACCTATAAAGGAAAAAATACCTTTTTATNTATTGCAAACAATTTTGAACTGATTTTTAAAAAATTTATATCGTTGTAAAGATGATTAAACCCGCTTTCCTTCGNGATAGACGTAGTTCTCGTTTTGCTCTTATTTAAATGCTATATAACTTTTTTTTTTTCCAGGTGCTATAAGGGGTCAAAGTTCAGGTCTTCGAAAAATTAAATTCCTAACAATTTTGAACTGACTTTTAAAAAATTTATATCGTTGTAAAGATGATTAAACCCGCTTTCCTTCGATATGCATATTTGTATACTTCGCATATAAAATTTTTAGAAAAACACATTTAAATGAAAAAAAAAAGATATTTTAAATAAAAAAATTACTAACAGTTTTTTTAAAAATTGGTATCGTGTTAAGGATGATTAAGTCCCCTTTCTTCTGACATGCATATTTGCATACTTCGTAAATAAAAATTTTAGGAAAAACACATTTAAATGAAAAAAAAAAGATATTTTAAATAAAAAAATTACTAACAGTTTTTTTAAAAATTGGTATCGTGTTAAGGATGATTAAGTCCCCTTTCTTCTGACATGCATATTTGCATACTCCGTATATAAAAATTAGAGAAAAAAAAACCTATAAAGGAAAAAATACCTTTTTATAAAAAAAATGTTATACAAAAAAATTACTAACAGTTTTTTTAAAAATTGGTATCGTGTTAAGGATGATTAAGTCCCCTTTCTTCTGACATGCATATTTGCATACTCCGTATATAAAAATTAGAGAAAAAAAAAACCTATAAAGGAAAAAATACCTTTTTATAAAAAAAATGTTATACAAAAAAATTACTAACCAACTTTGAAAAGGTTGGTATCGTTGTAAAGGCAATTAAACCCCCTTTCTTTNCCTATAAAGGAAAAAATACCTTTTTATAAAAAAAATGTTATACAAAAAAATTACTAACCGACTTTGAAAAGGTTGGTATCGTTGTAAAGGCAATTAAACCCCCTTTCTTTTGATATGCATATTTGTATACTTCGTATATAAGAATAAAAAAACACATTTAAAGGAAAAGATACCTTTTTTTATAAAGAAAATATTTGAGACAAAAAATACTAACCGATTTTTAAAAAATTGGTATCGCTGTAAAGGCGACCACCCCCCCCTTTCTTCTGAAATGCATATTTGCATACTTCGTAAATAAAAATTTTAAGAAAAACACATTTAAATGACAAAACACCGTTTTTTATACAAAAAAAAAATATTTTAAACAAGAAAATTACCAACCGATTTTTAAACAATTGGTACCGTTGTAAAGGCGATCAAATTCCTTTCTTCTGATATGCATATTTGTATACTTCGTATATAAGAATTTGAGAAAAACACTTAAAAGGAAAAAATGCCAATTTTTTCTTANATATTTTAAACAAGAAAATTACCACCCGATTTTTAAACAATTGGTACCGTTGTAAAGGCGATCAAATTCCTTTCTTCTGATATGCATATTTGTATACTTCGTATATAAGAATTTGAGAAAAACACTTAAAAGGAAAAAATGCCAATTTTTTCTTATAAAAAATATTTTAACCAAAAAAATTAATAATTAGTAATACAATTGAATACTTTATTTAAATAAAACAGAAAATCACCTTTAATTTTTATATATAACCTGTAATGTAAAAAACAGGGAACAAAAATAACTGTTATCTCGAATTTACAAATTGAAAACGTTGCCCGAATTCTGAAATTTAACGAAAACGTTGTTTCATAAAAGTTATTAGATGAGAAATATGTTTTCCGTTGCCGATAATAGTTATTTCCCAACGTTTATTTTTTACGTTGCCTGATAACTATTATGCAATAGAAATATTTTTTCCGTTGCCAGTCTATACTATCTTCTATACTAATTCTATAGTCAATTTTTTTTGTAACAGGTAAGCTCGCCAACGGCTGATACGATTTTGATGATATTTTGTGTATAAATAGCTTTCAGCAACCACCATGTTTTAGGCCAAAAAANGATACCTTTTTTTATAAAGAAAATATTTGAGACAAAAAATACTAACCGATTTTTAAAAAATTGGTATCGCTGTAAAGGCGACCACCCCCCCCTTTCTTCTGAAATGCATATTTGCATACTTCGTAAATAAAAATTTTAGGAAAAACACATTTAAATGACAAAACACCGTTTTTTATACAAAAAAAAAATATTTTAAACAAGAAAATTACCAACCGATTTTTAAACAATTGGTACCGTTGTAAAGGCGATCAAATTCCTTTCTTCTGATATGCATATTTGTATACTTCGTATATAAGAATTTGAGAAAAACACTTAAAAGGAAAAAATGCCAATTTTTTCTTATAAAAAATATTTTAACCAAAAAAATTAATAATTAGTAATACAATTGAATACTTTATTTAAATAAAACAGAAAATCACCTTTAATTTTTATATATAACCTGTAATGTAAAAAACAGGGAACAAAAATAACTGTTATCTCGAATTTACAAATTGAAAACGTTGCCCGAATTCTGAAATTTAACGAAAACGTTGTTTCATAAAAGTTATTAGATGAGAAATATGTTTTCCGTTGCCGATAATAGTTATTTCCCAACGTTTATTTTTTACGTTGCCTGATAACTATTATGCAATAGAAATATTTTTTCCGTTGCCAGTCTATACTATCTTCTATACTAATTCTATAGTCAATTTTTTTTGTAACAGGTAAGCTCGCCAACGGCTGATACGATTTTGATGATATTTTGTGTATAAATAGCTTTCAGCAACCACCATGTTTTAGGCCAAAAAATTTTACTTTTTTTCCGGTAGGTGAACCAGGGACCGATTTATTCGAAAAAAATCTTATTATTGTCCGACTTGCTTGAAATTTGGTATAAAGGTATCTTTTTGCCTAGATTAGCATACAGGATCCCTTTTTCCGGGAAGTGGACCAGGGACCGATCTATTGGAAAAAATCGTATTTATGGTTCGATTTGCTTAAAATTTTGGTACGTAGGTAGCTTTTTGCATAGATTAGGATATAGGATCCTTTTTTCCGGGAAGTGGACCAGGGACCGATCTATTCGAAAAAATCATATTTATGGTCCGATTTGCTCAAAATTTGGTACGTAGGTAGCTTTATGCCTAAATTACCATATAGAATCCTTTCTTCCGGGAAGTGGACCAGGGACCGATCTATTAAAAAAAAATCGTATTTATGGCCCGATTCGCTTAAAATTTGGTTTGTAGGTAGCTTTTTTCCTGGATTATCATATAGGATCCTTTTTTCCGGGAAGTGGACCAGGGACCAATCTATTGGTTAGGGCCTTTGTGAATTACGATATTTACATCTTCGGTACGTGTAAATTTCAATGTAGCTTTTCAAACAGGCGGCAACCCTCCTTCATGCAGTTTCGAAAACCCCTGTCAAAACTATTTCGGTTTATACTCATCATGAAGTAATTCATTTAACTTATAAATTAATTTTAAGCTAGATTTTTAAC